ATAAGCTTCACCCGATGTGGAGTAGCATCAACCTCCACCCGCTGTGGTATCCCTCTGATCTGATCAATACTCTCTACCTGCCAAGAGTCCAAAGTGACAACCCTGCCCAGACCAAACTCAGAAGCTCCCAACTGATAGCCAAATGAACTCCTGAATTCTAAATGTGTAATCGGATCCAATCTCACATCAACGATGTGACCAAGTACTGGGTAGCTAAATATCCGACGCCGACCAAAACCTGAAGCAGCTCCACCAGATCTAACAACTCTACACGTAGCAGTCGGCAACCTCATAAGATGGTCCAATGTCAAAGCCTGAATACCAAATCCACTGCTCGACAACCAACGTCGATCCTCCTCCAGAAAAGAACGGCCCTCTAAATCCGCCATCTCATCACATCGCCCCACTGTCTCCTCTCCTCTGAAGTGTCTCCAACTACCATGAGCTCGGTACCAATGCACGAAAGAACCCCTACTAGAACTAGTACGACGGTTGACCTTTCTGCCCATACACCTCCTCCAACTGTTGCGGACTACTAGGGCTTCATACCAAAGGGACTTGGTTGCAACCCATATATGCCTAGTACAATCCCCAACATAGGAAACAAAATACCGATTACCTCCTAATGATGCCTCCATGGAAGGTCCCCCAATGCCTGACTAAACACCTCTAATAAGACCACTCGATCGATGGATAGAAGTGCTGAACTCCACCTCGGTCTCCTCGCTCATCCCAATGTGCTCACAGGACTTCAATCTGTAGGTCATAGCACTCCTCAACGACCTATGCACGACATAACCAATAATATACCCCAGCACCAACCAATGCCACAGTCTAGCCAAAGAAGTCGTAAGCACTCTATCCACCACCGTGCTCCCAAGCAGATAATACAAGTTACTCCTCCTGACGCCCTTCATCACGATCATGGACTCCGATGTGACCTTCAAGCGAGAATCCGCTAAGGTCACCCTATAGCCTGCTACCTCTAATACCCTAAGTGAGATGATGTTCTTCCTCAGTTGAGGAACAAACCTCACATCAACCAACTCCCGAATCATCCCGTCACTCGTCCGAATACGAACGATACCAATACCACCAATAGGGCATCTGTGATCATTACCCATAAGTACAACATCCTCTCTTTCCAACTCCTGAAAGCTGGAGAACCAATCCCTCCTAGGGCATATATGGTAAGTAGCACCCGAATCCAACATCCACTCGGTGGAGTCGGCAACACCAACTGACGGAAGAGCTGGGCATGAATAGCCTGAAGAATTTGAATCTGAAACGTCACCACTAGCCTTGGCAACATTCACCTCTGAAGCTTGAATAGCTTCCCCCTTATTCTTCACGGCTTGCAATTTTAGGCATTCGGCTTTCCAATGTCCATCTTCTCTACAAAAGGCACACTGATTCCTACCTACTGTAGGATGCCCCCCTCTAGACTGCGACCTCCTACCACGGTTTGGACTTCTAGCTCTTGCAACCAATGCCCCCGCAACCGGCTCAATGGAAGTCTCCTTGTCCTTCTTTCGAAGTTGATAGTTCACAAGGGCTGCGGTGACCTCACTATACGAAAGAGATACATTCCCATTAATAAGAGTGAGGACAAAGGTCTCATATTCCTCGTTGGGCAAGGAACTCAATAACAACAATGCCTTATCTTCATCTTCAACTATAACATCTACATTCGCCAAGTCTGCAAGTAGCTTCGTGTAGTGGTTCATGTGATCACTAATGGATATCCCCTTCTTCAATTGGAAATGATAAAGCCTCCTCTTCAAATGCAAACGATTTTCGACGCACTTCGTCAAATATTTGCCCTCTAGGACCTCCCAAATCTTCTTTGCCGAAGTTTCATTCATCACATCATATTTAAGGTCTTGGGTAAGGCAAGACCTAATCACACCACACGCCGTTCTATTCATTTTATTCCAAACATTTTCATCAATGTCGGCCGGTTTTCCGTCCAACTCCAACGTATTTTCCAGATTTTGCGCATTTAGCGCATCCATGACTTCGCATCTCCAAAGTCCAAAATTATTTATGCCGTTGAACTTTTCCACATCTATTTTCATAAAATGTATATTCAAACTTTGGACGGCCTTCACACTAGAAGAACCCTCCCCACTTTTATCTTTTTCGGTCATATTTCTCAAAGCACCCAAACTATTGCGAAACAAACAAGAAATAGATCCAACTTGAAAAAGATAGAAACTTTACCACAAAGATTCCACCTTTATCACCAATCAAAGCTCTAGATGAACTTCCCAACTGATCTACACCTCCAAAAATCCCAAGCGTTGCCCGGAGCTCTGATACCAATTGTTAGGGAGAAACCCCTATGCCGAGATCCAACCAAATAGCCGAAAGAGATAAACCAACACACCAACAAGAGCACAAACACAATCAACATCAGATTTTACGTGGTTCGGCGAGATGCCTACGTCCACGGGGCAAGGAGGGGGGAGTTTTCACTATTAGAAATCAAGAGGATACAACTAGGGTTACAAATCTCTCATAAACCCTCAACAAATCAACTCTTGATCTCACCAATTGCTCCTAGAATAAAAGCCCAAAGAAAATACCTTTCAACAGCTCAAAAACACTTGCCTTTCAAACCCCAGAATCGAGTTTGAGTATTTATAAAAAAAACCAAACGAAACGGGTCTGGAAAACAGACCCAGCCCAAACC